CAGATACGGTTTTGGGGAATCTCTATTATATGTTTCAGGGATTTTTTTCTTCCCATACCCATCCCTTACGGATCCCTACGGGTTTCAGTTAATCTTATCCCAAAAAATAAACAAACATTTTTGAAATTAATGCAACACTTAAAACTTGTAAGATATATCATATTGTCTCGAATTGGTCTCTATCTATAATATGGAAGTTTCAAACTTCAATATTCATCTAACACTCAATGTATATGTACAATTTTAACCATTTTCGATCTCAACAAATCAATGTATATTAAATGAGAAATGATATAAACTTCAATTTTAGTTCATTTGAAATGTAACAGTGGTAACATGTAATCTCACATATATTTTTCGAGTATCTCACGGTTATTTTTGTATAATATCATGGATCCTTACTATTGTTTTTCGGGGATCCCCATGGTTATTCACAATGGTACGGCTCGATTATCCCTACGGTTTGGATATAACAATCCCTATCCCTATCCCCATTTGAGATTTGAGGATAAAACTTCTGTGGTCCCCATCCCCGTAATAAAGATTTCAATTATTTTTCATCCCGTCAGTTTGGATCCCCATAGTTTTCTGTTTTTCCCCACCCGATTGCCACCCCTACTGAGTAGGGACCAAATTAGGTAAATTAGGTTAATTTATTTCATTCGGGACTTTATTATTAACACATTGGAATCTTATTATAGTTGAAATAATCTTTTTTTTCCAGTAACTGAAGTATAATTATTAAGGTTCTCTTTGTATATAAGTTATATTCTTTCATTGAGAATTATGTTCTCTTTGTATATAAGTTCTATTCTTTCATTGAGAATTATGTTTTGGTCTTTTTCTTTTCAAGGAATTATAATGAGTAATCGATTTTTTTAACAAGTTCGTGATGAATACAACATAATATTTGTTTAAAGAATATCAATTATTTGACAATAAATACTCATATATATATATATAATGCTCGAATACGAAATTTTAAAAGATAACAATAATCACCTAACTATTGAGGTCACTTAATTTATACAATGAATAACACTTTTAGACGAGAGCCTCGTCTTTTGTCTTTTTTCTTTTTTCTTTTTTATCACTAACTTTAGAAACCTCGGCTTCCATGCTTTTGAGGATTGGTAATTTACCTGTCGAGAATCCTTGGGAATTTTGGTCTTCCAACCGATGCTTTTCCTTATAGTCGTTGTGCCCCTCTCTCTTTTACTTTGCTCGTATGGGTCAAGTCCATAAAATTAAATTAATTATATTAATCGATTATTTTTCTTAAAATTATGGAAGAATATAAATTAATCATTAAATGATAACAATATTATCCTATGATAAAAAGACTAAAAATCAACCAACCAATTAAAAAATAATATATACGATTAAATATTACTAATAGAATGGATGATAAACACCATCAATACCAACATAAAAATATATATATAATAACATGTTGATAAACTAATTTTATCACAATTCAAATATGATTTAAACACCTATCAATATAAGAGAATTAATTGAAGATTAAAAACAATAATAAATCAATAAAATAACTAAGTAAACATTAAATTAAAGAAATATCGAATCTGACCCTAAATATTATTAGGCTGTGATAAAATTAGTGTAAAGGGGTTCACTTTCATGGCCCATTGCAAATCAAATTTTATCATCAAAGATTAATGTCATCCGAGATTATCGTAAAAATGATATTTTTATATAAAATTCGAATTTAGTTTATTAAACAAATACAACTATAAATAAACTTTATCATTATTTAAAGGTATGACCTAATCAAATTTTAAATATGATCAAGACATATGTGATGGATGCATGAATCTCATATTAAAAAACTTTAATCATGATCCTTGCTTAATTTGAGGAGATTGATGCGGATAGTTTTTCTCCTAAAATTTTAAAATTATTATATATTTTAATTTTTTATGTATTTTTTTAAAATTTATTTTTGTCTCTCTTAAAATTATATAATTTATTTATTTTTTTAAAATTTTAAAAATTTGTTCCTCTAATATAAATATTGTGTTTGTTCATCATTGTTGAAAAGAAGTCCCCTGGACAAAAGAAGTTAAAGGAGATGATGATCTGTATGCCTACCTTGTTGCCGATCCTTCAAAAAGGTGAATGGTCATAATTCCTTTACATTGGGCCACCTTGGCCGACCATTTCTAATTTCATTGTTAAGATTTGGCTTTAAAAATATCAACTTGTCAGAAAATCATGTTTTCACTGCCTGTCATAAGCTTTGAGCATTGATGATGATGATGATGATGATGATGATGATGATGATGATGATGATGTCGATGAATGATGAGCCAGGCGAGACCATGGACCCTGGTTAGAATCATAAGAAGAATCTTAGGCAATATAAACAAGCCCTCGAATGCCTTGGACTCTAGAAAATAATCAAATATCATAGTTGAAGTATGATCAATACTTAAGTTCGGATTTTTATATTATAAATAAAATATATTTAATTAAAAAGATGACATAATAATAAAATTACCTTCAACGTTTGTATAACTAATTATTGTCTTTTATTTTTTTTTAGAGTATTTTGGCCCCCAACACTTCATTTTAGAGTAAAATATTTCTAATTGGATGAAAATTATTTGTTGACTAATTGTCAATGTTTCACAAGTTCATGTGTGAAGTCACTTCAGCAAAAAAATTAAAGTAAACTATAATTATAATTAATTACATATACACTTATAAAAATATTTTTTTAATGACATGACATGACACGTAGACATGTCAGCCACATCAATAAAAATCGTTAATTATTAGTCAACTAATAATTTCTATCCATACGGAAAGCATTTTGTTCCAAAATAAAACGTTGGAGGCTAAAATCTCTGAAAAAAAGATAGGGGTAAAGTGACTATTTATGCAACGTTGAGGGTAATTTTGTTATTATGTCTAAAAAGATTTCCTCTAAACCTATTGAGTGACCATGAATGGAGCTAGAAGTGGATGGTCGCTCCTCCTAATATTTTTTTAAATTCTCATAAATTTTAGATATTTTCTTTGTATTTTCAATTGAGAATATGTTTTTGCTCCTTCAAAATTTTATAAATTCTTACCTCCATAAATTTTATAAGTTCGCATCTCCTAACATAAAATCATGCATCCGCCTTTGTGAGTGACGTAAGTTATTAAAGGGAGTGCTCTTTTAGGTCTTTGGTTCGAGCAATTGCATCTTTAGAGTGTATGTGAGTTACCAATAATTTAAAAAAAAATATGAAAATATAATACCTTTGTAATCACCCGAGACCATTCAAAAAAATTATCTCCTTCACAGTTTCATATTATCTATATTAAAAAATTAAGAAAAATTCAAAATAAAATAATTATATGATCCTACATAATGGGTATATTATTGCGTCACGTGATCATTATCTCTTTTTAAAAGAAACGCCTTATAAGATGTAAAACTACGTGTACCAAGTCACCCTCATAGTTAGCTAGCATTCCTTAATATTACTGATTTAAATAAACTCAACAATAAAATATCTTAAGACATGATTCATCAGCTGAACCGAATCTAAAATTTGATAGGAACACGTAGGCTGTTCCAGTGTGTAGAACAGCTGAAACTCTTTGGTGGGTCCATTTCTTATGGGACACCATCCCCTCATCGTTGTCTTAAAAACATTTTCAATCATCTTGTTTCTTCTGGCTTTACAGAATTATTTTGAATACTATATGGTAAAGGTTCTTTTGAAACCGATGAATTTCTGTCTATTTGAAGATATTGAACCCTTAACACCATGATGGAACGAATCTCGATGCGTGCGACATTCAGATCAAGACAGCCATGAATGCTTATATTACCATTCTACATTAGAACAAAGTGTAGGTAAATTTTAGGCGTGAGAAGGTGTTAGAGAAGGGCAGTAGGTGTAAACCGAGTAGGACGTGATCAAGATTTTATGTCAAGAATGATAAATTTATTAAATTTTAACGGTTAACATATGTTATCAACACAATATTTTTCACTAATGATAGATTAATAATATGACATATATTGTATCATTTAAATGATGACATCATATATGATATATATATAAAGTGATGATGTGATATGTGTTATATCACTTAAAATGATGATGTACATGTATCATATCACCCAAAATGATGGCATAACACATGTCACATCATCGATTGATCACATGTGAAAATATCATGCCACTATTATATGTTAATCGTTAGTCAATTAACGATTTTCATCTAATAAAATTTATTTTGATCAAAAATTGAAACTTAGGATGTAAAATGATACCAAAAAAATAACAGACAAAATGACTATTTGTGTTCAAGTTGAAAGGTAATTGTGTCATTATACCAATCTTAAAAGGGATAACTTTATAAAATTTTAAGATAAGAAAATAAACTATTGATAGAAAATACAAAATAAATATGAAAAATGGAAATATTCAAGAGTCCGACCCCTCTCAATCCATCAACAGGAGAGGGCGACCCGGAAAGCATAGGAGGCATGGGACCCAAAGGGGGAGTGGTGAGAATGATGGCAGTTGTCGAACGTAGGTCCATGTTGTGTTGTCGTTGCTTTCTTTTTGGGGTGAGGGTCACGTCTACACCATTTACTCCATTAAACATGTATAAATTATATGGATTAGCCAAGAACATGCAAGCATTATCAAAGTCTAGTAATATCAAGGGAAAAAGACGTACAAATCTTTCAGTAGTATATTAAAAATTTAAAGATATAAAATTTTATATGAGAAATAGGGCTTCACCATTTGCCATTACCAATTCATTTCGAAGTTGATTTATACTTTACAAATCTCCCCTAGTAATTTACAACTAGACAATGGTGTAATGTCCTGAGTGTCACTAACATGAGGTGCCAAATTGCAATAAGATTCTATCAATGCCCTTCATCTCTCTCTCTCTCTCTCTCTAATTCTTTATTTCAAATACTCCTTTTACACCACTATATATAGCTCTCACATTCATCACCTAATTTCACAACACTCAACTCTTTCCTCATCTCTATAATCTCTTACCCTTCATTCATTCTTTTCAATCTTTTCTTCAAGCTTCTATATTCCCAAATGGCCAGCGTTGATGTTGATGTAATCTAATCTTTAACATTGATATTTTTACTTGATCATTAGCTTCAATCATGTCAATGATAAATTAAAGATTTTCATGTTTTTTCTTCTAGGTTCAATCAGCTGCCGCGACAACATTGGTAGAGAACGAGACAGCACCAGCAGAGGTAACCAAAGTTGAGGAGACAACACCAAAAGAGGAGCCAACCGCTACACCCGTGGCGGCCAAGCCGGTCACAACATCAGATGCACCGCCAGCTGTAGAGGAAAGCGCGGCTCCCGAAGCCGATACCAAAGAAGTCTTAGAAGCAGAAACCAAGGTTGAAGAGGAAGCAAAGCCAGCACCAGAGGAGACAAAGGAAGAGACACCCGAGGTGAAGCCAGAAGCAGTTACAAAGGAGGCCAAAGTCGAGACTACGGAAGCACTGGCAGATACCGCAGCAGGAGAGGAGGAGAAACCGGCCGAGGAAAAGGGAGATGAAAAAGGCGAAGAAGTTCCTGTTGAGAAAGTTGAGGAATAGAGTGACCATTTTGCAAAAGGTGGCATAGCTTTAAAAGGAGCTTCTTTTTTATAGCTTGCATGTCATGATTGGTATAGTCATCATATCATCTATAATAACTATGTAGGGTAAGGGACGATGAGAGTTTTTCTTTTGTTATTGTCTTTCTTTCGTTCTTTGGGGTTTGCTGTTAGTATTAAACATGCCATGTACTTTGCTTTCGATGTATATATGCATGTATGTGTTTTTTTGGTTCCAAGTAATTATGAGTTTGATATCGTGTGATGAGATGAGATGAGATTTGTATGTACCTCCATATTTGCATCATATACTTTTGTGTTTAACAAGTTGTTGGTGCAATGGTAAAAGCATAAAGAGAATTTAGACTCGAACTTATAAGACATTGCAAGACGAATTTAGAAATGTTTTTTTTTTCTATTTCTTAGGATGAACACGTATATATTAAAAAAATATCATATGCGATGAACAAAAATTCAAGATTGACACCATCGATAAAATAGATAACTAACAGAAAAAATTTCAAATTTTAGGTAAAATAGATAACTAACAGAAAATATTTCAAATTTTAGGTAAAATAGACTAACAGAAAGAATTTCAAAATTTAGGGTGGATACTTACCCACCCTGAATTACACTTACATCCATCATTGAACTCGAGGCCCGAAAGATTAGTCTTCATAAATCGTAAAACAAACATGAAAGCGATTGTACCAAAAGAAAAAACAAACTATGCAATTAGAAAACACTAAATAGAGGATTTCTGGTGAGCCTAGAAGTCATTGCACAACCGTGTAATTACATGAAAGCAGATACCAAAGCGCATGGAAGTGAGCAATCTTTCCAATTTGCCCCCTGCCTTATTCATGCAAAATGCTATACCTATACAAAACAGTTGTCCCAAAAAAGAGGAGAAAAAGAAAAGAAAAAACAATGACATCTCATGAAGGAAAGACAATTTTACTACACCTTCTTACATAGTCCGATGATAAAGCAGATGATAATGAAACTATAAACCTGTACAAAGCTGAGTACCAATTTTTCTATATGTCAAAAAGCCTTTTTTTCACCCCCAAATGCACATGTAATTCATGTTTTTTTTTTGCTACCAGGTACCAAAGCTGCAGCCGACATGTTCCTGAGTAATAACGTCGAGCCGTTTTTGCATTTCAACCTTGGAGGGATACGGCGGGAAACACAACCTGTAAAAGCAGGTATGAGAAGAAGGGAGACGCCCGTGCGGCTCTGAGGACTTATAAATATAGAGCTGAGAGGCTAAACCACGGAAACCTTCGACCGGAAGATGCTTCAAGGAGGTCCAGAAGAAAAGAAGTATCTTTCTTTTCTCTGCTGACATTTCCCTAACAATCTGCAATATTGTTGAAAAGCGAGAAAGTGAATTATAAGGAAGACAAGCTATATTATGCATTCTCCAAGCAGACTAAAGCTAAATACTAAAACAATAAACTAGCAGCAATTTCATAACTAGTCATAACACTTTCAATAGCTGAAGAATCATGCACCATCTACTTCTTGAGGGTTGGCTCATAAACACTGAGAACATTGTAGTTTCGCAATCACCATTCTAGATCGGTTCAGATGTTTACTTACAAGATGCAAGAATCTACTGACAATGCGAAAACCCAGATTGAGTTGCGACAAATCAAGCCATTGAAAAGGCAGTGCAGAAGTAAAGGATGGGGATGCAATTTTCTAACTAGTAATGTATCTTTAATTTAAGATACCCTTGTTCCACAGGATCCCTGTTTTTAAAACACGACTACAAATATGCGATAAGGAGCATATAAATTTAAATGTAAATATAATATACATATTATGCATATATCAAGCCTAAGCATGATTCAAATACAGTCCTGTGTGTTTTAAGTTATATTCATCCTTGACCCATCCCAGTTCTAAAAACGGGACTACTATTATGAGGCGAGCAGCATGAACAACAAATAGAAAGAAATTGATTCTCTTCATTTCTTTTTTATTTAAAAAAGAATATCAAGACCTTAACACGATTTAAACACAATCTTGTGTGTTCGTACCTCCCAGAACCAGGTTATTTGAGGATCATTTTCCGAGTAGCCATTGTACTCAGTATGTGCCTTCCAGTCTTCAAAACAAATAGGACTTTCGCTTCCATATAGCATCCAATCAAGGTCCTCCGGTTCTAAACTTTGAAAAAAGAACTTCTGGAACTTTGAGTTAGAAAGAATATGGCCAAAGCCTTGGGAAAATTGCTCTACCTGTTCAGAAATAGATGTTACAAAGCGGTCCTGAATAAGAAGATTAACATATTCCTGCCTATTCCTGCTATTTACAACAATGTTTTTCCCATCACCACAAAGCTCAACAATTCTCCTGGATCCTAACTCCTCAACTTCTCTGACAAATGTCAGTCCTAAAACATCCGAATCAATGAACTCAGCATCCATCTCCAGAATCTTCTTGCAGCTGCTATACAAGAATGGATCTGCCTCTCGTATATCTTCCAATGATATATGCATTCCAGCCAGTTGTTGGATAAATACACGATCAAAGACAACACCTACTTGCACTTTATGCATCAACGCCAATGCAATCACACGGCCAGCAAATCTGAAATACTCAAGGTGCATAGGATCCACCTTAGATGCTGCATACAGAAGAAAACACAGAAGCAACATATACCCCGGCAGGGGCAGCATAAGAAGGAAGCCAACATAACCCGTAAGGTATCATAACATTTTTGCAAACAATGGTTTCATAATAATAATAATAATAAAAGAACATTTAAAAGGGTATCATGTTATATAAATATTCTCAAACAAACAAGAAACAACAAGCAGAACTAGGTCTCAGAAGCAACACAAGAAAAATTAAATCAATATGATTATGAATGATAATCAAGAATTCAAGAAATCTCAATAAGTGTAAAATATTCTCATCTTAATTTACGTCTCTCTCACAATTCCCGTTTTCCACCAGATTCAAAGCCTTAATTTGTATGTTAGTCCTTTTCATCTTGGGTTGCATCTCTCTTTCTCTCACCCCTTCAATTGTTTCCCATTATAATCACATTCTATGTAGCATGGTGTCTATATTTAATAGTGATGACATGTTAACTGCGTTGGAGTAACATGTAAGGTGCTTTCGATCATGCTATAGCCTGGACACCTAATAAAACCAGTACTGGATGCAAAGGCAGCCCTCTAGAAATTCCCATTTCTACTACCTGAAATCAAGTTTATGAAACCTACTTGTCCCAGTATTCCCCAAACTATGACACTAAATTTTAATTGCTCCCCAAACTTTAACTTCATCCTCAGACGGAGAAGAGGGGGCAGTGATGGCAAAGGGAGATGACATTCGAACTGATCACTGTGAATGGATTTTTGGGTTATCTAGAAGCTTAGGTAATTTGCTCAGTGATCATGGCAGAGTTATGGGCTGTGCGTGTTGGAGCATGCATGGAAGCTGGGTTTAAGCAGGTTGAGGTGGAGACGGATAGTGTGGAAGCTGTCTGGATTATTATAAACAGGGAATCAAAGTTGTTACAAGGAAATTCCACCGTAAATGCCTTAAGGGCACTGTTGCAGCGTGACTGGGAGGTGAAAGTGATCCATGTTCTGCATGAAGGGAACCTGTTGGTGGATCTGTTGGTGTCATGGGGAACCTGTAGGAGAATTGCATTTATAGTAGCATCGCTTGCGATTGCAGCTTTGGTGCGACCAGAAGAACAAGCAGGCATATAGTGTGTTTTATGTCCAGTATTACTAGAAAAAAGCTTTCTGTAAAGGTTTGAAAACCCAAACACAAAGCTATAAAACTTCCCATTGATTTGACCTATGCTTGAAAAACATGCAAATTGGATCGGTGCAATGGCCATGGAAACGTTGATTTGATATATACTTGAAAAGCAAAAGGAAATGAAAGAAAAAATATAGCCACTCAATAACAGCTTGTTAAATAAATGAAATCCATAGAGTTGACAATTGAGTCCTTGTGTTTTGGTTATGGAATCAATTCACAAGTATGAATTTGATGACCTAGAGATCCTGTTTTAGTTTCAGTAAAAATATGTCCAGATTGAATCAGGGTTTTATCCGGTTGATTTATAAAACAATTTTAGTAAGTGACTAAAAACATTTGAAATTTAAATCATAACATTTGTAATCTTAGAATAAAAATATTGCAATGTTTTCTTATAAAGTAGTTCCAGTAATGATAAAGAAGAAATTAAACGAACACAAGCGAACAAACATAAAATTAATTGGGTTTATATTTGAGAAGAGTTTTTTTTTCTTTTCAAATAATTTTAGGATTTATATTTTCTTTGGTTGATTTGAGTGCTTTTTATTTGGGTTTAAAATTAATTGACTTTAAAAATATTAATGGGTTTAAGGTTAAAACTTATTAAGTCTATATTTCAAACGGGTCTAGAGAACATAAACGAACATAAATGAACATAAATGAACGAATTATTGATCGTTCACAAACGTAAATGAACGAACGAGCCTTTTATTCGTGTCCTTTCATTTAATTAAACGAAAATAAAATCTTGTTCATGTTCGTTCGTTTAATAAATAAACGAACTTCCCGCCAAACAGTTCGCTGAACGTTTGGTTCATTTACAAGCTTAACCAAAACAAGGGAACGCAAACACAGAAAAAGTTAAAAGTGAGCACAAATAAGTCTTCATTTCACCATATCAAGCCATTGCAAACTGAAATCTGCCCTTGTTTACACCTTGTGTTGTCAAGGTGTGCGTCTAGGCACGCCTTCACCTTAGAGCTAGATAACAAAAGCACCTCAAACCATATCAGGCGAAGCTCATTTGATCAGACACTAGCCTAATGTGCATAGGTGTCCTTTTTTTTATAAGGAAGTAAGCATAAAAAAGCTTGCATGCTTGAAGTTCAGTTTAATTTATTTTTTCCACTTTCTACATAGAAACACCTTTAGTGGCAAGAAAGGGATAGCATCCAACTCTATAGTTCTCAATATTTCAACATTCGACAACAAGCATTAATCACAAGGGAATCACATATATTGACCAAGAAAATTGCATGTTTTGTAATAAAGTAATAAACTAGACCTAACAAACACAAAAATATATATAAACTCTGTTTTACATCTGACAAATGAACTTTAATTATTTTATATTATTTTTACTCAGTAACATTTATTAATTATAAGATATCTTAGGGTTTTAATCTAGGGCTAGTGTTATTAGTTACCTTTAATGTTTAAATCTAGGGCTAGGAATATAACCTTATCAATAACCCTGGTATAAATAAGTTGTAAAATATATACAGCCACAGTTTTCTTATTATTTTCTTGAACTAATAGAAAGAAACTGTAGGTTTTCTTAAACCTAAGTTTTCTAAAGTTTCATCTTATTTCTTCCTCGTTTGTTCATCCTAATTCTATTGCTTCACTGTTGTTTTCAGCCTTAAACCATATCAACTTCACTTAGGCTAGCACTATGTTTGTGCCTTGCACTTAAGGCAATAGAAGGGTTCTAGAGCCTAGAGTGTGCCTTGTGCCCTTAACACTGTTTACATCAAAAGGCTAAAAACACAAATTTTGAATGAATCTAATAACTACATTCATAACATGATAATTCTTTTCTTATAACTATTTCATCTTTCACAGTAAGCTTTGAAAAAACCTCTCTCTTGCATAATAAGGAAAAAGAAACATGTTATCTTGGGAAGTGAAAAAAAGTTTGAACGTTAGAGAAACCTTACCAGGATTAGGAAAAAATCTTCTACGATCATTTGAGCAAGGGACGAAAAGGGCATTCTCGGGATTAAATATAGCTTGGCATACCAAGAAAAACCACTCCCTCAGTACACCAGGGCCAGTAGCTTCTTCATTTTTAAATTCCATGAATAGACCAGCATGGAGTGATTCAGGGTCAGTACGAGCAATGTACTCAAATGATTCTGACAATAACTGAGACCTGTCAATTAGCATCTCATGCAGTTCCTCGTAATCTTCTTTTACATCGGGAAACATCATCATGGCCAAATGCCTCCTGGATTCAAAATCAGTGACATCCTTGCGCTCAAGTAGCCACCTGTTATCATCATTTCGCTTTCCAAACCTAATGATTAAGGCACACAATGAAGATTTACTATTCCTCAAAACCATCCAAAACTGCTCTTCAGCACCCACATAAAGTTTTGAGATTCCATTCAGTTCCTTTAAAATGGCAAGATACTGAGACCACCCCTCTGTATGAAGATCACCCACACTGCTTCCACCAGAATCAAGGCTTTCCCCCACTCTGATAAGACATCTTTCCATTTTAGCCAACAAATCACTAAATATAGCATGAAGAAATTCAATTGCCTCCCCATAGGAAGGATTGCTGCGATCCTCCTTTTGCCACACAACTGATATGGGAATCCGGTACCCCACTTGCTCAAGAATGGTTGACCGCAAAGGGTTCAAGAATGCAGTGAAATCCCTTACGTCACTCAACAGCGGTCCCCCAACAGAATGCACACTAGATTGCAAATCCCTAGATAGCTTATCAGCCAACTCACTAACAAAGGGGAAAATGTCTTGCAAGGCAATCAACCCTTTAACCTCTGGCAGCATTAAACCCCTGAAAGTGCCAAAACTTCCCAACAACACCCCAAGTGCACTGCGGCATGACTCGTACAAATTATCCTCGTCAACAGTCTTCCTTAGTAACTTGCAGAACTCTAATATTATGGGTGCACAATAAGAATGTAAATGTTTTGACAATGCACTCCTACATGAAGTTAAGAACTGTCGTATTGAAGCATCAGCACACTGCTTATTACTATTAATTGGAGACATATAAAGCATTACCAAAGCGGCAGGAGCTGAAGATGCCATAAATATCTGCAAGTGAGCGGGAGCTGAGTCGTTATTGTCCTTCGGAGTAATTGTGAAAAAGTTAATCAAGCAATCTTTGATGCGTTTCGTCGAGGAAGGGACTATTTCCCCTCGGCAAAGGCGGCAAATAATGGAGATCATATCGTCCATGACCTGCCAGGTTTGCGGGTGGTCCGTCGACCGCATACGGCCAACCAGTTGTAGTCCGGCGTCGTTTTGGATGGCGCAATCAGCTAGGGATTGTTCCCACTGGAGCTGTTTCCCGCCATAAATTAACCGCTGCTCGATAACCGGAATTCCGGTCATAACCTGAATCCTCTGATGGAGGGATTTCACCGTGTCTTCCAAATTAGCCTGGACCACAATGGTTTTACCCTCGGAGATCATCCTGACGAAGAATTGGAGGCGGGAGGAGGAACATACGGCGGAAGACGAAGAGGCGACATCGGAGGAGGAAGAAGGGCGAGAATCGACGACGGAGGCAGCGGATGAGGAAGAAGCCGGAGCTTTAGACGAGTGATGAACGGCCGTGATTGGGTGTGGGCCTTGATGGGTATGATCGTCTTTTCGCATCCTGATGGGGACTAAAGTACACTCCTCGGAGTCTTCCTGGTAGTCATCGAAAGCAAAGGCGTAATCTTCGAACTTGCGTTTGGAAGAGAGACGGTGGTGATCGTGGCCGTTGGAAGGTTGATCAACGGCGATGGATTGGTATAGAGACATTGGACGGTGGAAGCCCCCAGCCTGCTACGGTGGGAGAGAACACAGAGAGAAATATAACAAATTTAATCGAAACAAAGAAAAGAAGAAAAATAAACCTTGAAATCAAAAGAGATGAAAAATTGAAAATCCCTTTTAGAGAGTGAATGAATGAGTTTAAAAGGGAAAGAAATTGAATGCCGATGATCGTCCCCTTCGTCTCGCCTATAACACTCTGCTTACGTACAGCCGTCATCACCTAAGCTGCAGAGCTGTAATTTTACGCTATTAAGTGTATTTTTTTAATCTTGCTTTTAGGTTAAATTCTTCCGGATACCACTTAACTTTAAATTTAACATTACTTTATTATTAAACTCTGAACTAATACATTATATCACTTAATTTTGATTTTAGGTTTAATTATATCATTGAGCCTCAATTCCTAAATGATGTATTGATGTGAACACTAATTCCGTCGATAAGATGACATGACTAAAATAATATTATGTAATTATATTAATATATAAAACGACATTGTCTTATATTAAAATACGACCACCCTCTAAAAGTATCACACACGAACCAACAAAGAATGTGTTATGAGAATGTTATTTCCTCTTTGTTTTCTTAAAATAGTAGTTTTATAGTTTTTTGGTTTTGAGTGGTTGCAAGTTTTTTAACTTTAGACCCTATGCGTATATTATACTTATAGATGACTTGATTAAGGTTAGGCTAAGTCCACCGGTTTTGTATTAATTTTCGTTATTTTTAATTTAAAACTAATTTTAAATTAAATAATAATTCAAGTATTACTCATTTAGAACTCTTTTAAATAGATAACAATTTAAAATGGATTTTTTAATTGATAAGTAATCTAAATTCAACTAAATCCTAATAACTGATTATTTAATATTATTCTTGAATCAAATAAGGAAATAATAATAAATAAAATATAAATCCTCTAAATTAAATTCGGATTAAATAGTTTTTTACAATATAATTTAAAATAATTTCATTGTCTTAAATTATTATTGAATAACCACAACCATTTTGTTTCATTTTTAATGTGCGACCATATATGTTCAATTAATGTTTGACATTAGATAAAATCATATTTAATCCTATAAGTGATCTTTAGCAAAACATTATGACTGCTTAAGTTGAATAAAAAAACTCATGATCTAAGACAACTTTAACATAGTTCATATTATAATCCTTTTATCTCACAATATCTTTATATTATATAAGACATAGAAAAATATTAACTTTATATTGTTCTGTATTCAATTTTTTGATGTCTAGTTGAACTGGCTATACAAATGACATTGATCTCCATCAACTTATTTGAGCACGAACAAGCATATCTTAATCTCAATCATTAACGCGCCCTGAGATATCTCTCTTATGAAAAGAGAGGTAAATTCTATCTTAACCATTCACACCTTATTAAATGATTTTTGTTATGTTTAAACATAACCTTTATAATAATCCGATTAAAAGATAACGTTTGACTATGTAAAAATATAATTATCATCATGTTTAGAACTGTAGTAATTTGAGGTCTAGAAATTTAACGACATAATTGTTGAAGATTAATATATGACATTGATCTATGTATTGATTTCAACAATCATGATGAATTCTCGTTTGACATTTTTTTATATTTTTAAGTAAGAATTTTAAAAAATAAAAATATATTGAATTTTTGAATTTTTTTGGAATTATAAATAAATTATTTTAAAAAAATTAAGGAAAATAGAAACTTGATTTGATTGAAAGTAAAAATACATCTTTAATTTTTAATGTTGATTAAAATAAAAAAAAATAGATTAAGTTAATTTCCACATAAAATATTTTATTTATTGTATTAAATGATCTTATAATTATAATTATTTTTAACAGATATTATTTATTTATGATTAAAAAGTTTTATTTTTTAAATAAATTGATCTTAGATTAAGTTATAATAATAACTCATAAATAATTTATGATTTATAATAATACATAGATATTATTATTATTATCTTGTACGTAGGCAATATAATATTTATTTATAATATATATATTTTTTGGTGCAAAAGATTTAAAGGAACATACTAAAATTCTATATTCTTAGGGTAGCTTTCCTCTAGCGTCGGCTAGAAGCCTTGAAGAAGTTTCCTCCAAAGGATGATTTAGAATGTGGGTTCCCGTTTCTTATTCCAATGCCATTTTAGCAAGAAGATATGCGCATCTATTTTCCTCACGCCAGGTTGTCTAATTTCTGCCACCCATCCTTCCTTACAAAGCTTTTCGCAATCCCTAATCAAAATTTCCTCTTATACATCCCCCTTTTCCTCTTTATTCAGAGCTTTCATAATCCACTTGGCATCGACTTCGACTATGACTTTCCTTACACCTAAGGACTTCGTAAGAATGAGCCCTTGACGGTCGAATTGTAATTCTGGTGGTCGAGATGCTTGTAATCCCAATCTGGAGCATAAATCCCCCGTTCCAGTCACAGTACTCCTTACAGATTAAGCCCCCCGCCACCGCAATTTCGGTGGTCGTTCTGCGCACGCCATTCGTATTCAAAACCCACATCGCTTCGGGATGCTTCATCCATCACACCCAATTGGAGTTTTCTGGTAACTTTGTTATATGTTGCTTCCATAGCTAATTATATTTCTTCTACGAGCTTTAAACTATATTCGATAATTTGATTGGGATTTCTATTCCTATTATTAAAGATTGCATCGTTTATGCATTTCCATAAGCCTCATAGAGTCGTAGAGAAGATTGTGCCCCAATTTACTCCCTTTTCACAAACTTTACTTGATCGACAATTTCTAACTAGCCAGTCTTTCCATTCCATTGAGTTGAATTAGTCATCTTTGTGAAGGGATTTTAATTCTTTCCGTACCAATTTAGTCGTAGTACAGTCATTATATGTTCCAGGGACTCGGTCACGTTTTGGCAATCTTTATAAATAGTCTTGGGTCATGTTATTCCTTGCCCTAATTTCATTTGTATTCAATTTGTTGAGGTTGCAAAGCCAAAGAAAGAATCTAATTCGTTTAGTCGTTGCCATATCTAATTAGTTTTCTAACCTTGGTTGTGAACCGACTTCCTAGAAATAATATCTCTGAATGTCGACTTGATCGTAAATTTGCCATCCCTCGAGAAGCCCCCACAAGATTTTATCTTTTGCGTCTTCTCTATTTAGTAAGGGAATTGGGATTCCCCTTATTTGATTATATGTTTCCGTCGATATTAGATCTTGGACACACTGTAAATTCCAGCTTCTATCATCTGTAATAAAATCTCCAATGTTTTCATTTCTATCATTGATTTTTACTTTCGGGTATCGAACCTTTAGTGGCGCGTCCCCTACCCACCAGTCATGCTAAAAAATTTTCTGATTACCAGAATGAATTTGACTCTTCATGCCTCTTTTGATGATGTTCCTTGTGTGTAAGATGCCCCTTCAAATAGATGAGTAATTTTTTATGGCCTAATTTCTATGAAACCAGTTTGTTTCAAGTATTTCTCACTGAACACTCTGCACCATAATGCCTCGTGTTTATTGTACATTCTCCAGCTATTCTTCACCATAAGAGCACGGTTCATCATTTTTGTCTTACGTAATCCTAAACCCCCCAAATACTTCGGTTTGCAAACCATATCCCAATTGACCAAGTGATTGTGAGCATAATATGTGCCTTCTCCCCATAAGAAGTTTTGGTTAAACTTAATACCCTTAACTCATATACGTACCCGTATACTAGTCAAGATGTCACATCAATCAGACGAAACTTTTACTATTTGAAAACTAGTAAATTTATTTCTTTAAAATCTCAAAATGAATTTCTTTATTTTAAAACTAGTAATCGCACAAAATCATAATTTAATATTTAAATATCAAAATTTAAATTCAATTCAGATAACATTTTAAGCAATTCTGTACTGTAGCATATCTTAAATAAAAACTGTCATAAAATTGCCTGATTTGAAAATCGTTTCTATCATAAATAATTACGATTTAATAAACCAATATTCATAATTAATAATATCCTTTGTAAAACCAAACCTTCATAACTTAAACAAAAATATCTTAAATAGATTCGAATTAGAGCAGTTAGAAACTTCTTTAATATATATGTCACTACCAAATAAATTAACAGACAGGATGTCCTTACTGATTCTGGTGGCAAAACTGATTCCTCAAAAATGATACTAATGCACTCCCTATTTTCCCTTTCTAGCTTGCATCTACGTGTGAAACACTCACACGTTAAGTTTTCACTTAGTGAGACAACTGTAACACCCCAACCCGTACCTGACCCGAATACGAGTGTGAGATATCACATTGACTTTTAAAAACGATATTCTTACCAAATATCAAAACATTTGAACTCATTTTAAGAAAATACCACAATATTCTATTAAATTATGTTTTGTATAAAATTTCAAGTCAAAAACGTATTTATGAACAGTAAAATACGGTATGAATAGTACCGTGAACAGTAATGAACAGTATCGTGAACAGTACCCTATTACAATACCCGAATGTTAAAATTTTTCAGATTTTCATAGGGAACCGATTCCCCTACTACAGGGAACTGATACCCTGTTACAGTATTACTACAGTACTGTTACAGTATTTTCGTAAAATACGTATAAATTCATAAAAATCTAAGGTTTCATCTGTATAAAATTGCCATTTATATATACACATTTAAAACATTACAAAATTCAATCATATGATTTTACAAAATCGATTAAAACATATCGGATTCAAATCTTTGTTTACATGCCAACCACTATAAGTATTACTATTAACTTCTTTTCTGATCTGATCTTTGGAAAGAAGAATCTGACATATCTTGCATAACTTTTATCAATCTTCCTCTTCTCGGAACCTACGTGTGAAACAATCACACGCTAAGTCGTTGACTTAGTGAGGCATATAAACATATAATAAAACCATAAAACATTTCATATATCAAATCCACACATGTACATACATGATTATCTTCTTCCTTATCATTATCCTATTATTATCATTAATACCTTTTTATCATATAATCATATACTTATCATATTTACACATCATATACAATTTCATAAAGAAATACACTTAACAACATATAATTCATGTGATACAGTTCATATAACTACAAACATACATCTTTTCATATAACCAATACATGAATCATGTAATTTATTCCATATAACAAATCACCTTTACATATCACATTTAGTATATTTGTTTAATCTCTTTATTACACATGTACACTGTTGAGAACTTAAGGTATGTGAGTACATTGAGGTTGTGCACAAATGTTGTCATCACAGCTCGTATAAATTCCCACTAGGGGCATTGGATATTTGTCCCGAAAGACCGCGTAGAAATGTCCCGAATGACCACTATGTCCCGAATGACCACATATCACATATGTCCCGAAGGACCACTCCTTAAGAACCATATACATAATACAATGAACCAAATAAGTGTATCGAAGTACCACATACATGTTCCACGGAATTATATATATGTCCCGAAAGACCACATAGAATTGTCTCGAAAGATCGCGTAGACCCTCGACTCTTGGCATGCCAACTATACCTATAACTCTCGTATTATATAACATGGACATTATTACTTATCATTTCACATATTCATATCACTTGTTCTTTCTCTTCTGTCACATACCACATGTATGTGTAACTGTATATCTCATATCATATCACATGTATCACAAGTGTATGTATTCGCGTAAATAGTTTCATATGACTTATATCATTTCTCATGTTTTTATATAAGCACATATGTCACATCTTGTTCATATATACATCGCATAACACATAGAATAACATATAAACTTATGCATAAATCATTTCCATTTGATTCACATGCCACCTATCTCATTGCTTATATCTCTTAAGCACTTAATCACTTGTCTCATAATTTCATATATTCACATATCACTTATCACATTGTTTATATCTTATGATCATGTAATCGTACCAAACATATTCACACACACATGTATTCAAATAATCACATGTAGAAATACACTTACTCTATAGACATGTGCATGTATTCATTTTATTGCTCTTATAATCACATATAATAACATATACATATTCTCATGTACTCATGCACATATAAGAATTCCATCAACTATATAACATTTTAGAAGTCACTTCTTACCATAGTAACTCCGCCACTGGCTCATCGCAAGCCAATGTATGTTCAATAATTCAATAACATACGTACAATTAAATTGCACTCACCTTAGTCTTGCTTTGATTCGATCATAATTCTTTGATTGTTCCGAAACTTGTTTAGGCTCAATATCTACATAAATATAACATTTCAAAACAATTATCAGAAGCCTAAACCTTAAACTTGATGTTAATAACTTAAGCCGGTTTAATGAACCAAAATTTCATTTTTTTTCTTTAGGGGGGAATCGATACCCCCAGGGGAGAATCTATACCCCTGCGTAATTTGTAATTTTTCGTTCAAGCCCAGAAATCACATTTTAAACACGAAAATTCACTCAATTCAACTTGAATGCTTCATATTTCATCCCCTTTCATATTCTTAACTTACATATACATGCTTAAACTCATTTATATCCATTTATCTGATCTTAAACCTCAAAATCCTCTCCTCTTTATGACCTTCAAGAATCATACCCAATTTTCAATATGTTCTAATTTCAATTCTATAACTTCATATCTCTTAATTAAACTGATGATAAGTCAAATTTAACTTCAAATTCAACTTATCAACTCTTTTCCAGAAATTCATTTAGAAACTCATTCTCTTTAATCTTTCATAACTTCTTCATCTTTTGATTTTAAGATAACTTAAGCTTAGTTATGATCTAATGATCAAAGTTATGATCTAATGATCAAAGTTATCATCTAATGATCAAAACTAACTCATAAAATCAACAAATAATCAACTAAATAGAAACTCACCTTTGCTCAGCACGTTGGAGAAGAAGAAAGTAAGAAGAATAAGAGTTTTCCAGATACTCTCCCCCCAACGTGTTTATCTCTTCTTAAAGAGATAAAAAAAATATCTTTCATGACAAATGACCATTTTGCCCTTTAATTCCTTTAATAATTACTAATAACTTTCCAGAAATATCCACAAATAAATCATTGAAATATTCAACATTTTCACTTTAATCAACAAATTCTAAAATTTTACAATTTAGTCACTAACCCGTAGTTTAGGATGTTACAGCAACCAAGTAAAATAAAATAAATAAAATATTTAACTTATAAAACAGATAGTATCATATAAAGACATTAATAAAATAAAACATGTATAAAATCATATGTCAACTCGTAATAATAATTTATTATAAAAATCTATAATTCAGATTGTACTGTGCCATTTTAGATCTGTATTTTTCTATTTCAGTTCATATCAATACAAAATTGTACTTTTCTTTTCAAAATCTGATCATTTCATATCCATACTTTTCTTATTCATATCAAACCTTTGCCCACTTTATTATCATGAGAATACGCGGTACATGAGTTAGATAACGAGTGAGCGTATTATATACCAAATTTATTGTAAGAATAGATTGCACCGAGTCACTCCACCTCGTGTACCATTAAGGCACCCGAGTCAGACCACGAGTAACCCATCTTGGTGCCATATAATGCACATATATAGATAATCAGATGCATGGAATCACTCCACCTCGTGTACCACTAGGTACACCGAGTCAAATCATGAGTGATCCACATTGGTGCCATATCAGAACACTCTACCTCATGACATGCCATTGTACCACTAACCCTCATTTCCATACAATGGGCTTTATTCAAAATTAGTTATTAATTTGCTATAAAAATCATTCATCCATATAATCAAATATAAAACCATTTATATAAAACCAGATCTGGGCAGTTTACCCAAAAATATTCGCATGCTATGAAATAAAATACCAAATAAAATAATTTGGGTTATTCAAACCCAAAATCATATAAAAACCATTTAGTAAACCAATATAAAATAATTCAAATTGTTTCAATCGAAAACCTTTGAGATTGGCTCATCGCAAGCCGTCCTCATATCGAATATAAAATAAGTAAATTGCACTCGCCTGTTGCCTCACTAGCTTACTCTACGATCACCTCTATAACCCTCGTATCCGGTTCATTTTGATCTCAATTATAATCACAAACTACTCGATCATCGATTTCCAACATATAAATAATTTCGAACACATATTAATATTAATACTTAAACTAATATTATAATCGTATATTCAAACAAATTTCTAAAAAAAATACAATTGATATATATTCAAAACTAATTTCTAACCCTTAATTTAAATCAACTTTATTTCTTTTAATACTCCCTTTCAAGTCCTTGAAATAATACTTCTTAACCATAAATCACTTAACTTATCATAATTTAACAACTAACCCACTTTCACATTTCTTCTAAATCAATCCCCATAATTTGAAAATCCTCAATTTAGCCCCTACCAATCACTTTTATTCCACGTCAATCACCATTTTCAACTCCAAACAATATTTTTTTATTATTTTTTCCCAAGCAATTTCTTTAATCCCATATTTTTACCATTTCATCATCAACTTCCCCTAGACTTCCAACTTAGTCCACCATCTTGTATCATTCTAAAAAATAGTCCAATTCACTATTTTAACACAAATTTCCAGCATAGTAATTCAATTTCCCTACAATTACCTAATAATCTTTCAACTTCACCAAGCTTGCAAAAAGGTCCCATAAACTTAACATTACTTCAAATTGATCCAAAACTTAATTCTAATAGCATGAAATCATTCTTCTATCTAATCCAAACCCTAAAGAACTTGTTGCATATTTTTTCTTATTTTAATTCCTTGGGGCCGAAAAATTTGAAATCTTTCCTTAATGGTCTCCAACTTTGATTTAGGCTTGGTTTAGTCACCTACAACTCTTCTCCATTCATTTCTAATCATTCCTATATAAAAAATAATAAAAAAATTAACATTTCTTATACAGCCCATACATGACCATATACTTACATCTTGATCCCTTAGTGGTTTTTTTATTAACTTTTAAGCTTGTAATTGATTCCATAACACTACTATAATTAAAATCCAATTTATTTAATTGATTTATCATCTCCCCTTCAACCACCATAAAAAACCATTTCACTCTTTATGCATGAAATCATGCAAAAGCTATACCAAAAGAAAGAATTTAGTGGAGAACAATTTCCTTTTTCACACTTTAGTCCAAATTCTAATTAAAATGGACAAAAAATGAAAAAGAAAATCACACATACCTTGGCTATGGAGGTTACTGTCAGCTGCTGGAGGAGAAGAAGAATTTCAAGAGAATTCTATCAAAATTTCTCTTAATTAAATCATTAAAAGCTAATTTAAAATGAATTTTTAATTCTTTTTGGCCCAAAAGTCTAAATTGCCATTAATGAATCCTTATTTTTACCTTCATGACACTCCTTTATTTCTATTTTAATATTCCTAAATAACTATAAAATTTTCACCTATCAATTTCCCTTTTTGGCCTTCCAATTTTCTAAAATTTCAATTTAGTCATAAAATTGCACTATTTCACTAAGACAGGGTAAATTCTTTTAATCTGACTGATCCACTTCGAATTCTTCACATTAAAAATACTAAAACAACATTTTTAACCTCATACTACCATATTTCAAATTTTTATAATTTTTTTTTTATTTTTTCCGGATAATAGAAACCCTAAATAGGTCCCAAGGTCCTTGGTTAGGGGAATCTCACTAAACTTCTTAAATAGCTACTCGTTTCACTGTTCACATTGGGGGATACGAACATTCTGGATTTCTGAAGATTCACTTCGAGGCCTGAGGCTTGGTTGAACATGTTTAAGCATTTTTTTAGAACCATCACCTGGTTGGCCTTTGTTTCAAAAAATAACAACAAATCGTCCAAAAAAAAAAAGGTGGCTGATTCCAAATCCTCCTCTAGACATCTTTATCGCTTCCCACATCCCGCTTTCCTGTAATTCTAGAATTATATATGAGAGTCTTTCTATAACAAGAATAAAAAGATAAGGTGATAAGGGATCTCTCAGTCGAAGTCCTTTTTTAGGCTCAAAATTTTCTGTTTTTTCTCTATTCCAAAGGACTTTAATGGAGTTGTTTTCCACGCAAGACATAATCAATTTGATAATTTTGTCGGGAATGTCAAAATCCTGAAGGGTCTTTCGCATGAAGCTCCAATCCACCTTATCGTAGGCTTTTTGTAAATCAATTTTCTGGGTTACTTCTCTTTTTATACCCTGTAGATTTGCCAAGGTGTGAATCGCTTCTTGGACAAACAAAATCTTATCAATATAACCTCTACAGATCAGAAAACTGTTTTGGTATGAGCCTTCAATTCTTTGCAAAATAGGTCTTAACCATTGGACCAAAGTTTTCAAAAGAATTTTATAGGACGTGTTCAGTAAGCTAATCGGGTGAAATAACTTTATCCTAACAGCCGCAATTGTTTTAGGAATCAACACCAAGTAAAGTTTAAGGACCTCCTTATCAACGCTGTCATTTCTAATAGCCGAACTCACAAACTCAAACATGGTATCCTTTATGACATCCTAATTTCTTTTGTAGAATATAGGTTGAAAAACCGTCGGGCCCCAGAGCTTTAAGTCATTTCATACAGAATAACGCAGCAAGAATCTCCTCCATAATAATTGGATTAGTTATTTCCTTCTTTTCATCTTGTTCACTGTAGGCTTGAACATATTAAAAGTCTCATCGAGTTTGGAGAACTCTTTACTGTTGAAAAGATTCTTGTAATAACCCACCACATGATTACAAAGAGTCTTTTCCTATGTAACCCAGTTCTCTTCAATCCAGAGACTCATGATTCTATTGAATTTGCGTATGATAACGGTGGTTAAATGAAAAATTTTGTATTTCGCTCACCTTTTAACACGCAATCAAGCCTCAATTTTTGCAGCCATAAGATTTCTTCTTGGTATAAAATTCTTTGAAGTTTTTCATTAAGAGAACGTTCCAGGTTTTGGAGATAAGTTGAGTGAATGTAATTTGTAGAGTTTTGAACACCTCTTAGGCGATTCCTTAAGGTTATCTTATGTTTGAAGATATCCCCCGAAAGTACCCTCATTCCACTATAATATATTTCTTAATTTCAGCCACAACTTCAACAAGCAAGTCCTTTTTCTTATCCCAAGCTCTATTAAAAACAGTGGAGAAATTTTGGTACGTTAACCAGGCAGCCTTAAAGCGAAACGGTGTCTTATCTTTATCCGCCTTACAGTCCATATTTGTATTAGTCAGAACCGGGTTATGATCCGAATAGTGTCGTGTCAGGTTAACAATACAGGTATTGGGAAACATCATGAGAAAATTAGCATTTACCAAAGCTCTGTCAAGGCGTTCCTAAAGGATCATTTGGTTGTGAGCACATCTCACCCAAGTAAATTTATCGCTCATACACCCAATATCCAGCAAATTACATTTATCCCAGCGTTACTGAAACTGGATGATACGGTCAGTGCAGTTCGAACTACTTCTCTCATGCTCATCAAGGGAGGTAACACTGTTGAAATCACCCACAACAAGCCATGACACTTTAACATTGTCAGAGTAGGTTCTAAGATCCTCCCAAAATTCCATTGTCTTATTGGAGTGGGGCTGAACATACACCATTATTACGAGCCAGGTTTGTTCCCCTCCTCAGCTTCACAATGCAAAACTTGGTTGCATAACATATTTGAATATCTAGATGGCTAGAGTTCCATAAAATGATAAGACCCCCTCTTAAGCCTTGAGAAGACACCTCAAAGTTAATCTCGAATCTCAATTTCTTTTAGAGAACCTTACCCGTTCCAACTTTAGCTTTTGTTTCAAGTAGTCTGATGATAACAGGGTTTTTCTCACGGATTAATTCTTTGCAATTTCTAATAAAATGTGTGTTTTCCACCAGTAATCAACTTCATTGTATTCTCATATTATTTCTTTGATGCTCATGTATGACATGATTTAAGTTATCACATGTTTCAGGTATTTGGGCAGTTTGAGCAATGTCCAACCATTTTGTTCAGTTTGATCCTCTTTGCTGTCAGTTACCTCCCCTTCATAATCAGTTTCGACATCAACCACCACCACATCATCGGAGGTAAGCTCTTTGGATTTGCCTTTATTTATGCCCTCCATTTTCTCAGATCTGATGTCCTTTGAGTTTTTATCAGAAATGTGTTGCTTTTGGGAGTCTTTTTAGGGTATAACTCTGCGTTGCTCTAGAGTAGCTTTATTAGGGGGCCTGCTGGCTTGTTTATTATTCATTGAGTTTTCCTTGTATCCCTTGGAGGTACCCGTAGGGTACTCGGAAGTCCTCCTCCCTCTAGCCTTAATTTGATCATTGTTTTCTCGTGTGGTATTTCCTCTTTTCCTAGATCTATGTTTGGTTGATGATCCTTATCTTGTATTGGTTGGTCACAAGTAGTGTGTTCCTCTGTTGTCATCTTATTTTTTGCAATCTCTGCAGTCAAAGCTTCGAATCTGTTTTGATTTTGACTAGCATGGTTTGTCTTCTCTTGTATCTTGTTGCCACCTCGTGTTCCTCTTTGTCTTCTTTGGACTAACATACTAGGACTGTACTTCCTTGGAGTCCACGGAGATTTCTCATATTTTTTTCTTTTTTAGGATTTTCTTCTAGGTTTCTTTCTTGCTAGTCTTTTTGATTATTTTCTTGGTTTTCTTCCACAGGTTTTTCTTCTCCTAACTGGATGTTCTCAAGATGCTTTAGAGGACAACTTGCAGCCCTGTGTCCCTCTATCCCACAATGGAAGTAGATCGAATGGATACCCTCATATTCGATGTTAAAGATCATGATGCCAACCTTGATTTTGGATAACAAAGGTTTATTCAAGTCAATCTCAATGCAGATGCATGCGAATCTTCTTCGAGTTGTCCACCCAGTGTGATAGTCGAGTTTCACAGGTATACCGACTAATTTTCGATTTCCACCAGGATTTTTTCATCAAAATATTCTACGGTAAAGCCCGGAATATGAACCTAAACCGCTGTGGAAGGAACATTGGTACTTTCTGCAAGGAAGTTTGGTCTCCATTTTTTGTCAAATAGTGGTTCATAATTTTCTATGGGCCTTCGGTTAAAACTTTCAGTTTATCACTCTCGTTTTGGAATTTTACGGCGTAAGAGCCATTGCCGAGATAGATGCATTCAAATTCACTTTCTAATTTTCACATCATGTATTCTAGCCATTAACGTCTTGTACGCAATTGTTTTCCCTAGGATCTTTAGGATTATCGCTTTTCGCAACGGTTGATGGATAATTTCTTTCATATCCTTTGATATCTTAACTGTAGGATTTTCATCATCTTCCACTGCCTCCTTTTCATCGGATTTGATATCTTCTTCTACTCCTGACGAACTTCGAAACATACCCGTGAAGAGGGAGGATTCCAAAACAATGTCTCTCCGAGATCTCGGAATGTTTTCCTCATTGGCTTCTTCTTGCGTAGGTCTAATTCCCTTATTGCTTCTGCCTGTATCGTTCCTCGTTTCTTCTACCGGAGATTCCCCTTGCATGCTCCAAGAACAAGAACTTTTGTAAAATGTTTACTTTGATTATTTATTAAGAATATATATTTATTATACAAATTCTTTCAATTTAATATATTAAAAAATAATTATCCTAAATTTAATTCATGCATTGTCATAATTCTGAACATATATTATTTTATAATCACCTCAGGTTATTTTAAAAAATATATATTGAATTCATTGTCATAATTCTGAACATATAATTCTGAACATATATTACTTTTGTAAAATTGCAAGTGAAAATCTAATCATCAATAGGATGTATAGAATTCTTCAGATTTGAGGCACTTGCCACTAAAGCTCTCATCAAACTGGCCAGTCATTAGTGAGAAACTCAAGCTTGACTTGAAAAAACTAACTACTCAAAGCTCAACTCGAGCTAGATCAAATACTTGCTCGGAATAAGATCAAGCCAATCAAGTCCGTGCTAGACCTCAACTAGTAAAATTGAAATTTAATATCAAATTATTAAAAAAAACATTTGTATAGTAAAAGTTCAAACCAATTGTTAATATACCTTAATTCGGTTAATTCGATAGCTCGAGCTCAAACTCGACTCGGGGTGACCAATCAAAATCAAATAACAATCAACCACAAGTATTCCATTTAAATTTCCGACTTATTGCCAAATACTCTCTGCTAAAGTACCCAAATCCAATTGGAAAAAAAAAATCAAAGACTCTTCACAACTAAAACAAAACATGGTTAAATGTCACAATCATTTAAACATAAAGCAAGATGGTGATGGCAATAGGTGTTTAAGGGTTCATGTCAAGAGTTAAGAAGACAGCTGGTTGTGCTTGAAGCAATAGTCTCTTTCAATCTGTTTCGGCTTTAAACATAAACCATCAAGTCCAGATGCAGGAATTAAAAACAACAGATGAAAAAGATGTTGAAATTTCTAAGAAGTCTCGGACAATAAAAGCTACCAACATTCTCATAAGATGAATTACATGGACCCAAGTTGACCCTTTCTATAAAATAGAAAAAGAAGTCGATGGAATGTTTCAAAACATAGTATGATTTCTAAAGTTAGAGAATTGTCCAAGCCTTTTCTGCCACAAGTAGCAAGTCCAGCTCATATGTCAATTGTGTTTGACTTCCCAAGTCAACCCTTTGAGAGATCCGCGGTGAGTGAAGGATAGAACAAACAAAAGCTTCAAGGTTGTCTAAAACATGGTTATAAAATAAAATAAGTCAACTTCTTGTCCAAAAGAAAATATAAAAGTCAACCAACAGAAGACTAAGCACAGAAAATAACACAAAGATACAAAACCCATCTGTGAAAAACATTAAATAAAGCAAACTGAGCTGGTTACCTGTATAAATAATGAGCCCTTAAACTTCCTTAGTACTTTGCTCTACTATGTGTATTTTCTTGATTTTGATTATAAGACCAATTTGAATCCTTTTGAAAGAAAATCATCCCTGTAAAAACAAAAGAACCATTATTAGGCATTAAATCGGTCTACGTTGTGTGGTTAATCTCACTCAAAAGTGTTGATCGAACTAAGGCTCAGTGGCAAAGAAATCAAACAAGTTGGGAGTTCCACCACTTTTACCTCTTCTTACAACTTTTGTTCTTCAGTTTCTCTTGTTCTTTTTGTTTCTCGATTTGAATTCTTTTCGGGTCATCAACTTGAACGAGACTTCCTATATAAACCTCAGCACCAAATGTACCCGGACTACCACCGATCTTCACACCCCGCATCTTCTTCTTTTCTAGATCATACCAGACAAACTTTTGGCTATTGATCTCCATTAGAATCTTATCACGATCCTTGGAATAAGCTAATGGTTTTAGAAATGCTAAAGTGTTAATGGCTCTGGTCGTTTGAACCGAAAGCAACGGAGTCCAAGATTCTTTTACCCCATAATCCTTCATAACCCAAACATCAATCCTCGCTTGGTCATAATTACAAACAGCACATAGGCGTCCTTCCAAGACACCCACATCCAACAGATAGCTCTTGTCAGCACAATCAGGTTGAGGCACTTCGATGAACTCCTCGGTCCCGAGATCGAAACCCACAATCTTATTCATCATTCCAAATTCTATTCGCGGCGGCATCACCCAATGCAAAACCCCACCGGCCAACACACCATAGCCTCGTCGATGCAACAAATGGTAGAAGAATTGAAACATAAACCGAAGATAACGAGGAAGCTTAGTGATTTTCCTCCAAGAGTCATTCTTCAAATTATAAACCTTAACCTCGTAATCGAAAAAGAAGCTCTCGTCCTCTTCGTCATCAGTTTTATTGAACTTCGCCATCCTCACGACCTTATAATCATTAGTTTTAACATCCCGCCCGAACCCATAAAAGATATACCCAGATTTACAAGATTCACCAGGCGGGGGATCGATTTCCGAGACGGGCAGTCGACGGAACTGCCTCGTTGACGGATTATACAAGGCGAGATTCTTATCCGTGAGACGGAATGCGAGGATTCCGTTACACGAACCAAAGGCTTCAGTCCCGGCTCCGCTACTCAGAGGGTAATCGAGCGGGACGGAGTTATCCAGGGAGTCGAATTCCACGGAATAGAGATGTAAACCTTTGAGTAGGATGTTGAGATTCGATCTGGTGTTGACGGAACGGCTCAGATGGTCGTTGATGAAATCGGGGTCGTCGATCAGAGAGCAGTATGGCTTGGATAGGGCCTTGAAACGCACCACTGACTTCACCGGGAGCCGATTGAAGATGTCGGCGATTACATCCATGGGAAGCTTAGACATTTTTTGGGGGTTTGTTTGAGGAGAAAGGAAAGATTCTATTGAGTCGAGAAGCTAGTGGAGTAGGTCGACAGTGGTTGGACAAGTGGTAAAACAACAGCAAGATGCCTACTTTAGAGGTGAAGACGTCTCCCACTCTATCCCTTAAAATTAAAGTAAAAAAAAAAAACCAATTTCATTATTTTTGTTTGTTTGTTATTTCTTTCCTGCTTCTTTTGTTATATTCAGAGTAAACTACATATTTAATATTTTATTTATTATTCTCATTATTATTTTTGTCTCGTTTTAATTATTTTATTTTTTTAATCGAACCAAAAGCTATATTTTGAATTTTTTTCATATAGCATTAAAAAATTAATAAAATTATTTTTGAAATAAATATTCCCATTGTATCTCAAAAGCAGGAAATCTACAAACAATCAAAACTTAATCTGTGACCAAAACAACACAAAAAGTAACTCTACTCAAGCTACGGGCTATACAAATATTTCAATTTACAGAACCCTGACTATTACAAAAAAAATATATATATATGGAATCTGTTAAGTGAGGAATTAATGGAATGGTTGATGTTGTATTTTTTATTTTTTTAATATCGATGTAATATTTTTTATTTTATTTTTTATTTTTTTAATATCGATGATTAAAATAACATCAAAACGTAACATTAATTATAATTTTAAAAAAATAATTAAATGATCAAAAAATAACTAAGTATCGATACTTGTCGTGAAATAAGTATTGAATCATATTTATCATTTTAGAACATTTTAAGTTGTAACTAAGTACCGATACTTAATTATAAATATTGATACTTGTCGTGAAATAAGTATTGAACCACATTTAACATTTTAGGTTACAATCTCATAAATATAGTCGTGAAATATAATAGCTCTGGAACGCTTAAACACAAAAATCTCATAATTTTCTTTCTTGATCTCCCGAAATTTCATAAATGACATATGAATCCTATATATTTTTTTTAAACCCAACTATCGAACCTCATTATTTTCTTTCTTTCGTCGAAGTGATTTTCATATATTTTTTAGAGCCTTGCTATTGAATCTCATCTCATAAATAGACTCATGAAATATAGTCGATCTGGAACGCTTAAATACAAAAATCTCATATTTCTTTAATTAAAAAAACTTATTACAGTTCCGATTTCAACTTAATTTCTTAGCCACCAATAATTCTTGGGGGCAACTGAATTTGTTAACGTGATTGATAATATTTCCAACTTTCAAGTTATTTTGTTACTGTGACTATTTTTTAACTCATTCGCTAAATTTCGATAAGATTTTTGGTCTAAACCGGATTAGTTGAAGAAACTTATAACATTCACGATCTCAACTTAATTTCTTAGTTACTGTTACTGGTAACATTCTTGGCGCAACCGGATTTGTTAACGCGATTAATAACATTTTTGGCTTTTAATTTATTTTGTTACTGTGTCTATTTTCTTTGACTCATTTGCTAAATTTCGTTAACATTTTAGGCCCAAGTCGGATTTGTTAAAGAAACTTATAACATTCCAAATCACAGTCTAAACTCTTAGCGACCAATAACATTCTTCGACGCAACCGATTTTTTTAACGTGATTGACAATATTTTTTGCTTTCAACTTATTTTGTTACTATGACTATTTTCTTTGTCTCATTTGCTAAACTTCATCAATATTTTAGGTTCAAACCATATTTGTTAATGTAACGCCCCGAATATCAGATTAGTAGTTCGGGTCAACCCAAGATCTATATTTAGAGACTAAAAGACCTATTATTATAATTTGACCAAATTAGGTTAAATGTGGCCTTGAGCTAGGCCCAAGAGTTTAAGTTTTAGGGATAATTTTAATTTGAGATTAGAGAAGGGGGTCTAAAAGTGTAAATTACCCGTTGCTTATTTCAAAAGCTGAAAATCCCTTTATATTATATGTTTTATGTGAAAAACTCCCCTTAATTATCACCAAACATTCTTCCTCTTCTCTTCATCTTTTTTCATTTTCCTTCATTTTCAAAGTGAAGATTTCAAGCATTTCAAGTTTTGTTTAGTCAAAATGATGTGAGAATATTAATTCTCATCCTTATAGCTTCAATTTAAACTCCATATCACAAGTTTTAACCATAGAAACCAAAAATGGGGTCTAAGGAGGTTTAAGAGAATCAAGAGATTTAAGTTCATTTTTAGTGGATTCAAGTTAGAGGAAGTGTTCTTAACTCAAATCCAAATTCCTAAATAAATTAGTAATCCATTTTTCTT